TATCCCCCAGGGACGCTATATTGGGACATATGGGTTGGTGGGATGGGGCCGTCTCCTCGGGATGAGGTTGGCTCGCTATTCTCGCCTCCGATACATATATCCCCAAGCCTCCCATTTTGCTATAGATATTTTCCGAGATCTTCCATGCTCAAATTTTGAAGAATTTTTGCTACTTGGACGTTTGCCATGGTTGAGGCCAGCCTCGCTAAAGGCAGCTCGGACCTCCGTTTCCTGCTAACGCACCATAAGGTGACCGCCGATGTGCAAGCTAAGCTATATGATAACAGCATTGACACAGTGGCTAAGTTCGCTGCTTTCGTCAGTGATGCAGCGGACCTTCGGGACGTGCTAAAGACCGACCTGGGCATGGACCCAGCTAGCTCCTTGAGCCTCCGTGCTCAGGCAGCCTCCTTGATGGTCGCCTGGGAAACTGCTAAAGCTAGGGTCAAGACCCAGGCCGAAGCTGAAGCTACGAATGAAGTCCGGGAATGGGCCAAGCCTATTCCGCAGACGGACTACATCGCTATGCGACAGGCTTACGCTACCCAGTTTGGGGACCTGGAGGATAAGCACATCCCCGCTAAGGAATACATTGAGAAGAAACTGCACGAGCTAGAGACCGGGGAGTTCCGCGCGGAACCGCTAACTGAGGTGATCAGTCGGGACGAAGTCGATCCCGACGTGCTACTTCCCCGCTGGAACGCTAGTGGAACCCTTTCCATTGCTAAGGGAGGTTCCCGCACTACAGCTCCGTCTGGTCCGGAACAGCTACGACTCCGTCTCACCGTGCTACAGAACGCCCTGATCATGATCAAGTTGAAGCACCCTGGACGGGCTGAGCTAGCGGATGTCACTTTCGCCGTCTTCGAGCGCTACCAGGACTACCTACTGCTACGGCCTCCGGTCCAATCCTCAGCTATGAGCACGCTATCCGCAAGCATGCCTACAAGCTCATGGCTACGGATGGTCGCTCCTTCGGCGACGCGCTCGCTAAGGCGTACAAGGAGGCTACTGTCAAGGAGAGGCACTTCACCACACCTCTCGCGCTACACGCAAAGCGGCCGAACCCCTCAGTGCCCCCTCCCCCGCTAAACCCCTACCAGCGTGACCCCAAGAAGGGGAAGGGCAAGCTGGGCAAGGGGAAGGACAAGCAGCCGATGAAGTCCGGCACGCGAGCAGGCACGTCCAACCGGACGCCCGATGGCAAGCCCATCTGCTACCGTTTCAACGCTAAGGGTGGCTGCAAGAAGGGCGACAAGTGCCACTTCGCCCACGTGTGCCTTCACTGCTTCGCTAAGCACCCGGCCACGCAGTGTCCCGCGCTAAAGAGCAAGAAGGACGACAAGCAGCAGGCCGCTAACTGACCCGAGTCCCGTGCGGACCCGCTACCACAGCCTGCTCCACCGCTTGGCAAAGTGCTACGGGTGCTCTACTTGTTTGCCGGAGCTAAGAGACCGTGGGACATGGCTACCTGCGTCAAAGAGACAGCCTCGGCCATGGGTTGGGATGCTACGATCGAGTGCGTCGACATTTGCAGAAGCGCGAAAATGGACCTCACCAAGTCCGCGCTACGCCAGAGCTACCTGGACAAGATTCAGGCCAAGAGCTTCGACGCTATACTTCTCTCGCCGCCCTGCTCCTCTTTCTCGAGGGCGCCTTTTGCTAATCACCGCGGACCCCGACCGGTCCGCTGCTACCAGCATCCTCGCGGCAAGGATACGCTAACTGCCCGCGAGCGGGATCGAGCTATACTGGGCAACCTCTTCGCCGACTTCGCTTGGGACGTGGCTACCCTGGTGGCGCAAGGCGCCGCTAGCTTCCTCGCCTTCGAGCAGCCGGAAGACCTGGGGGCTATCCACAAAGGTCCCTTTGCTGGACAACGCCGCGCTAGCATGTGGCAGTACCCCGCTTTCGAGCAGCTACTCAAACAAGGTTGCAGGACGGTGGCCTTTCACCAGGCCAGCTTCGGGACGCCCTACGCTAAACCGACCCGACTTTTTCTTCGCACGCCGTGCGAGCTACCTTCTTTCGTGCACGAGGGTGCACCAGTTTTTGACGAGAACGGCAGCTACTTGGGGCCACTCCCGTCCGGGAGGCAGTACGGTGGTCTCTTCCAGCACCGTGCTAAAGGGCTCTTCGCTACCTCTGGATCCGAGCGCTGGCCGCCTCGCCTTTGCCAGTGGCTAGCCGGGGTGCTGGTCGAGACTTGCCTGGACCCTGCTTCGACTGCTACGGGGGGGGAGGTCCAGGAACAGCGCAACGAAGAGGACCTCAGCTACACCATCAACGAGCCCGAGGGTCCCCGAGTCCTTGGGGGGGTTGGGCCCCCCCGCTACTGCCAGCAACTGGGAGGACAAGGACTGTCATGACGTCTGCTCGCCAGGACGCTGGAAACCTGAAAATAGGTCCCTGGCCTCCGGGCCGTCTTGGGACTGGCTACGCGAGAAGACCCTCGACCTGGTGCTAAAGGAGCTCGGCAGTGGAGACGTGAGGGAGCTAGAACGCGAAGCGTTTCGGATGGCAGCCGGCGGGGAGCATGGTTGTTCCCTCGCTAAGAACGAGAAGCTCCAATCCCAGCTAAGGCAACTGTGGAAGGACTGGCTATATAGAGGCTCAGGACCTGGGAGAGAAGGACTTGCTACACCAGGCCGAAGGGCAGCCCCTCTACCTGAGGCTGCTCAGGGGGATGCTTGAGGCCGCCGGCGACCCCGACCGGGAGTTCCTCCGTCGAGCTGAGGAAGGGCTGCCGCTAGGCATCCTGGAGCCGCTACCGCGCACTCCGCATGTTTTTGAGGAGCAGCTGAAGTGGCCTCTTGAGAACGCCCCGTGGGAGGCCTCGCTAGCATGGGTCCCGAACTACTCCTCCGTAGAAGAGCACCTGGCTTTTGCTAAGGAGAAATTTGATGAAGACGTCGAGGAGGGCCTCATGGCTAGAATGACGCTACGGGAGTTCAAGGAGCGCTACGGCGAGAACTCCGCCATCGCTAGTCTTGCGGTCATCGTAGAGGATGAGCTAAAAGACAAGAAGCGCATCATCCATGATGCTACCCACGGAGTCCGGGTGAACCACCGGATAAAGTGCCGAGACAAGATACGCGCTCCAGGAGCTAGGGAGAAGAAGCAGCTACTCCGAGAGATGATCGACGAGAACCGGGTGGCTTTCTCGGTGGTGGGCGACATCTCCAAAGCCCACCGACGCTACAAGCATCAACCATCGGAGCATGGCTTCATGGGCTGTCAGCTAAGCACCGAGGAGACAGTCCCGGAAAATCCAGACAGCCAGCTAGTTTACGTGAACTTGGTTGGGACCTTTGGTCTTTCGTGTGCTAGCTACTGGTGGACGCGGATTGCGGCCTGTGGAGTCAGGCTAGTTTACCACCTCCTGGGCCCTAAGTTCCCGCTAGACCTTCTGCTGTACGCGGACGACCTGGAGTCGTTGGGTCGGACGCCCGCAGGGAGGCAGGGCATTCCACTCAGCTACTTGTTTCTGGCTACACTGGGCTACCCTTTCAAGTGGCCGAAGGCCCGAGGGGGTTTTCGTGTGGAGTGGCTAGGAATGGAGACTGACTACCCAGGCCACCAGCTAGGTCTTTCGAAGAAGAGCGCCGGATGGCTAGTGGAATGGCTACGGGACAAGGCCACCCGAGGCCGCGTGACTGCTAAGGAGTTCTCCCAGGGCTTGGGCCGGCTAGGCTTCGCAGCTATAGCTCTGGACTGGGAACGTCCCTTCCTTGGCCCGCTACATGCCTGGTCGTCTGCAGTCCAAACCAAGGTTGGCATGCTAACAGTTCCCACGATGCTAAGGGTCCTGTGCCTCTGGCTGGCCGAAAGGCTGGAGGCTGGCGGTAGATTGCAGAGACCCGCCCCGCTAGTGGAGGAAGCGGCGCCGCTGAGTTTCTTCACTGACGCTAAGGCGGAAGCAGGGAAGGCCTGGATAGGGGACTTCCTCGAGCTAGTGCCTGGCTGCCAAGGACCGTGGTTCTCGCTAGAGGTACAGCAGAGTTGGGCCCCTTGGGCTTTCGCTAAGGGCGACCCGAACAAGGTGATCGCCGCCCTAGAGCTGCTGGCCACCTTGGTGGCGGTCAAGCTATGGGTACCAGAAGGCCCAGCTAAGAAGACCACGAGGGTGGCGATACGGGGCTATACTGATAACAAGTCGAATGAAGCATTGCTCAAGAAGGCGATGACGACGAAGTTCCCATCGACCTTGGTGCTAATGGAGACAGCGGAAGAGCTGTCCGCTAAGAACTGCGAATTACAGTTGCAGTGGATCCGTCGTGATCTCAATCAGCTAGCGGATGATTTGACGAACGAAAACTTCGCTAGTTTC